CTTTACTTGATTACTTGTCTTTTATTTACTTGATTTTGTATTCGCGTAGCTTAGTTTTATTTCCAAGATTTTAAAATAATAGCAAAAAAAAAAAAAGACTTTGAAAGATCTTGAAAATTCTCACGAGGCCCTTTCCCAATAGGTCGCGACCCTCTTCATTGACACGACAACCATAAAATTTGTCTTAGCATAACTTAGAACTTCTCATGCATTCACTTAGAAACCCGAAAAAACGTTCTATAGATAATATATCCGAATTCTCGACAATAGGTCAAAATGTACATAATACTGTTCATCACACTCTCGATGCTATACCTAACCTCCACAATCCTAGGCCCCACTTACATAATTTCGAACATATTGAACCTTTTTTCCCTCATGACAACCGCCCTGAACGTCTTCATCCAAATTATGATCAGAATAGGGACCATGTCGATGACATCACTAGAAAAGTAAAAATAGATGCCCCCGGATTTGATGGCCGCCTAGACTCCGAAGCCATTCTAGACTGGCTGGATTTCGTCGAAGAGTACTTTGATTGGTATCACATGCCTGACTACCAATGCAATTGTTTCACCAAAATGAAACTTGTCAAATCTACTAAACATTATTGGCAGACGATGACACGTAACTTAGAATGTTTAGGACAACCTATCACTATGTAGGGGGAAATGAAAACAAAACTCACTAAAAAATACGCCCTGCCTTACCACCGTTCTCAACTTATAGAACGTCTGCATAACCTTAGACAAAACTTATCAATCATCCCTGACTATAGATCTCATTTCTATGAGTTGTTGCACCGTTCTAGTCTTGATGAACCGATGACGTAACTATCACTCGGTTCCTTAATAGCTTAAGGTATGATCTCAAACAAGTCATCGTTCTAAGCCTTTATTCCTTAGATGATGCTTTTCACAAAGCCCTCGAATATGAACGATACTCTCGACCACCTGTTGCTCGACGTGGTCTTTCAACCTTCTTCGGCCTTCACCAATCCCACCTTAATCCATCCACA